CCTGCACGACAAAATGAATTACATTGGACACTGAAATATATTCACAAATTTACTGGTTGCACACAGGTCAATTTTTTACAAATTCACAACCTGGCCAGCACATTCGTGGCGTCGGCCATCATCTTAGCGCCGCTGCAACTTGCAAGGCGCTGGCACAGCGGACTCACTTCCGGTGTTCACAGTCATTATAGCAGGCCTGCGCCTTGTTCGTGTCGGCTCCTCTGCGGACAGTGTGTCCGTGTGCCGTCACGGGCTTCAGAGAGCCACCGCGAAACTATGTAGACGGCTGGCATCTGGTTGGGCGGTTCACCACTGTGCGAAGAGAGCATCTGAAAATGACCAAGAGGTAATTAATCAAAGTCTGGGACACACTAAAAATCACTAAGAAATAACCCACATCTGACATTTTACATGGTATGCCTGGTAATTCAGGTTTTCAAACCTACAATGCAACCATTAACGACACAATGAGACCAAATATCTTCTGTCCATGATAACTGATCAAGCATGCGACAGCACGATTGTAATTCACATGTCGTACACGGTACAACCACTACGAACATAACAATTTTTATTACCTATAGCTTTCCCGCTCCCTACATCACGGATGAAGTGTGCACTACATATACTCACCCTGTTCTCAAAGACGGACTGATTTCCCTGCAACGACAACAGTTGAACCGACCGCTTGCTAGAGCCAGTTCAAAAGCAATATCCTGAGGCAGCAGCTCAAAGGAGGGATAGACACTTGACCAACGCGGCAACGAGACTGGCCGCTGCGCTCAGAGGACGCGTCTGCCTGCACGCGGCCCATCTGATTGCTTTTCCAGGCTTTCTGGGCCACCGGATATGGTGCCCGAAGCGCCTTCTCAGATCGGTTGGGATAACAACGTAAATCACAAGCCTGTCTAAACATGGGATTCGAAACATGGGATGGGATTCGATTGGGCTATCCGTATCGCGTCCCAACCGATTAAGCATGCGGTCCGGAAATCCCGAGTCACCCCTACCGCCGGCCTCTGAGGTCCGGTATCGATTGGGACAACCCAAGCCTACCCAACCCGGTAGGGACAAGTCGGGACATCCGGAGCCTATCCCGACCGTCCCCAACCGCATCCCGGACGAATTGCTGGCTGGGGAGGGGTCGAACGGACCCACCCCCCTTGGGTTTTCGCGAATAACTCGCGTAAAAAGCGGCCGATCGCGACGAAGCTTTCAGTACCCTCGCGTTAATCAATTTTACACCTACCCTAAAATTGTCATGACCCTGACCTTAATGACCTTTGACCTGTGACCTACTTTTCGAGACCATGTTTGGCCGGAATCGCGATTCGGCGTATGTCGGCTCGCATTAGCCGCGCGTTTGCAGTCTTTTCGTAGTTTTAAGCGTCCAAACATGGGATATGATGCTGCTCCCATGCATTAGGGTGGGTGTCAAGGTCACCAGAAGGTCAGGTCAGGTCATTGACCTTTGATGACCTCGGTTCACTTTTTCGAGTTTTACATGTTTCTAGGCCAGTTTTTGGAGCTGAATTCGAATTTAGCAACCATATGAATATTTACGAAGTAGTTTTGGCACCTTCGTAACATGTTACGAAGCTGTCAGAGGCGGTTGCCACCTACTACGAATACCCTTACTGGTTGACCTGACCTGACCTGACCCGACCTGGCCTAAATGCATGAAGACATCATCTGTGATCAAAACTAACATGATATTCGTGATCAGCACTCCGAAAAACCCCATAGCAGCCACGCTTTACGACTTTCTAACAGGTCCCGATTTTCCCGACTTTTGGGTCATTGACCTGACCTGGAAAGTCAACCGGATGACCTAGGACCGTAAAATTGGGTAGCATCGGCTTCCTCTCGTCACGGGCAACACGCTCGTTTTTTCCGCGAAGCTCTAGCTCGATCAGGGGCGAAACGGCAAGCGGGGGAGGGGGGGTCCAACGGACCCCCCCCCCCTTATACGTTCGCGGCTGGAAAAACACCAATACGGGCGAGGGTGAAGGCAGATTGAGCAGATTGGTGTCTATTGTTTCGCACGGCAATCGTCTAGAGACGTGGGAACTAGGGGTTATGGGTATAGTGCGGCAGCTAACGCCCCAATTTAAAGCGATTATTACTGTTGCTCTAACCTTCTCCCCAGTGGGGGGGGGGGGGGGCATATGTTACCACCCTGTCGCATTTTTGGCGTGTGAATTAAAAACCGCGGCGGCGTAGCGCCGCGCCGCTTGGGGTAGCTTTTGGTACATCAATTTTGGACAATGTGTGAAATTTTTGACCCCAGGTCATGTCAGGTCAGGTCACCAGGTCAAGTTAACTGACCAAGCCTAAAAAAGTTTGCAATCATGTCCAGCCTGCAGTGTTTGTCAGAAAGGTTTTAAACTTGGTGGATTGCATGATGTTATGGGTGCCTACAATTTGTATATCTCGGATTTTTTATATGCGTGACCTAAGGTCAGGTCAGTGGCGTGACCTTACCATTATAAGTCAATGGAGAAAAATGAAAATGCCTCTAGACCCGTGTGTACGCATCGGAACAGTCCAAATATTTCAGAATCTCAATGATTTGGACCACCCGTGACGACCAAGGTGTCATTTTTGCTGATAGCCTCTAGAAAGGTCATCCGAGGTCATTTGAGGCTACAAACAGATTTTTGCCAATAACTCGCGATTGGAAAGAGATAGAACGCTGGGGATGGTGTCATTGTGTTTGTCTTGTTGAGACGCATCGACTGATATGCAAGATGACCTTTTCCGGTCAGGTCATGACCTTGACCTGAGGTCAAATTTTGAAGTTGACCTTTCAAGGTCATATTATGGTTCATTCGAAGCGTCTCGGCGAGAGGAACACGATTCTGGCAATATAATGTCGTGGCTTTTTGTAGTCGAAAGTTATTGGCGAAAAACACTTTTCGTAAAAACAGCTTTTTTGGAGTTTTTGCCCTCTGGAGGCTAAACCGTTGACCTGAGGTCAATTTTGATAATGACAATGTCAAAAGAAGAGCTCAAAAGCTATCGATTGCTTTCCCATGCGTTTTTCTAGCTACCTACCATAGTTCCTGAGATAACGGCATGTTTTCTGAAAAATATAGGTAATGACCATTGGCAAATTTTGACCTTTGATGACCTCTGGTGACCCCAATATTGCTCTAAGATGAAAAATGACCGAAGTACTTTCAAACGTACGCATTGAGAGCTATCGACTGCTTTTTCCCGCGTCTTTATAGCCCTCTTAGTTTTTGAGTTAGAGGTGGGTGGTAACATATGCCCCCCCCCCCCTCCCACTAGGGCGAAGTTGGCTGAGACCGCCACTGGGGCGCGGGTTATGTGGTCGCAGCCACCAATAGCAAACCGTTCCAACCAGGAGCTAAAAAGTCGGCCGCACTAGGAGGGTTCGAATCGTGCCTCCCCACTGATCATCTTACGATACGAGCGTTCAATGTTCATCCACTGAGCTACCGAGAATGGTCCCCGGCAGCACAAAACAAAATGACATTCACCCGCTGACCGCCAATGACAGTTTTGTGACATTTCATCGCGTTTGACCGCGCCAGGTAGTTGCTGGTCTCGGTAGATCAGTGGATGCACGCTATAGCGTCGTAGGGTGACCGGTTGGAGAAGCCCGGTTCGAACCGTCCTAGGTGCGCGACTTATTTGCTCCTAGTTGGAACGGTTTGCTATTGGTGGCTGCGATCACACATTAGAGGAACAGTAAGATTTGCTTAAAGTTGGGGTGTTGGCTGCCGCGCTATCCAAGAACCGCAGTTCCCACGTCTCTGGACGATTGCTGTGCGAAATAATAGACACCAATGAGCTCAATCAAGGCCTTAATACTTATCTGTTATAAACAATGCAGCTCCGCAACTCGATGCACGTGTGATATAAATTCTATCGGCTGTCCCAATGCCACGTTAGCCCTCGCCGGACCTATTGGTTTTCTACATACGCGCCGGCCGAGGGGGGGGGGGGGGTACGACCCCCCTCGCCGTTTCGCCCCTGGTGGAGCTAGCGCGCCGCGGAAAAAACGACCGTGTGCGCCGTTACGAGACGCAGAGATTGGTACCCGATTTTAAGGTCCTTGGTCAACCGGTGACCTCTGAAGTCAGGTCAAGTGCCCCAAGGTACGGTTCAGTTTTTGGTGAATAACTTCGCAAAAAACGGCCGCAGAGCCGCGATTTTGGCAGCATTGTGTTCGCCTCGCTTAGGCGCGTCGAATGATATACTTTTTGTTCGGGTCAGGTCAGCTTAGGGTGTTGACCTCGGTGTCATGTCTCGCAACGGCGCACACGCTCACTTTTTTCGTTATGCTTGAGCTCAGTTACAGGGGAAAACGACGGAGGCCGGGGACGGGGCATCGTTTGCCCCTCGGCCTCCTGCATGTATAGAAAACAAACCTTCATCCCCGCCCCTCAGCTTCGAAATAGCTCCCGTTTCCCTGCTTGGACACGTGCATAGACACTAGACATTGAGCAACAACACGACACGTTACACGCGTCTGAATCAGTTGTAAGGGTACTTGCGGTGGTATTTTATCCCGCGCCGGGCTGTGGGCTGTGGAGGGGCGGGGTAGGGAGTAGGGCGGTGAGCACCCGACTGTCTAACTGCTCCTTGGCCAGTGGCCACCTCAGCGACTCGCGATAGGTAGCGTAAGCGTTCGAAAAGTGTCAAAAGCATGAAGGAAGAAGGCACTTCAGCCAATTTTTGGGTCAGGCCAGAGTTCAGGTCACCAGGGGCCATTTAAAGTTAAAACTGCATATTTCAAAATTCAACACGTTTCGACAAATCGGTGCAGAACTCGAAAACGGGACTTGTTTATAAGCTCACTCACTCATCGGCCAAACCGACTCCATGTGACGCCTAATCCGGCCGCTCTACAGTCGCCGGTCGGCTAATCTGGCCGCTCTACTATCGTCGGTCGCTATCGTTACTATCGTTGGTCGCTATCGCTACTATCGCCGGCTTCGTCGAGCATTGGACATGGACAGCGTGCCCCCGGGCACACGGACAGCGACGCTGTGTGGTGGCGGGCGGCCCGGGGTGCGGGAGTGTTGAGACCGAGTCAAACGCAGGGAGCTCGCGGCAACACTATATAACCCCACCTGTGCGCGACCATTAGCTACATAGGTGAATTAGCCAGTCCCAGGCCTCTTGGAGCTTCACACTGAGCTGCCTTTGGTAAGTTTTCGGTTGATATTAATGAGGTATGTGGGCAATGCTGAGAGTGTAAAAGCACATGAGAGTTGTGAGATCGCATTCCATAAGCCGAGTTATTCATCTTATCCAATAACCTTGCCCTATAAATTGAGCTTGCCCTAAATATGACTTTCCAGATCAGTGTTGAATGGTACGGCAGATAGCGTCTCCGCTCATATAAGCGTTGGGCACTCTTACTCCTCTGATATGAACGCTCATATGATACAACTCTGTTCTTGAGATTAGAGAGGTCAAAAGTTCAACACGATCAGCGAATGAACAGCGTTGCGGTCGTTTGACGTTTATATACCCAGGCTCGGTAGGGCCAGAATTCGACGGGGCTCTATAGTCCCGCCAAATTGGCTGTTTTAATGTTGGGCTCAGCCCCTCGGCGTTGGGTATCAAAAAGGAAAAAAGCAGCTAAATTGGTTCAAGAGTCCTACTAAAAAAGGTCCAAAAGGTGATGACGGCACCGGGGCACGGCTGAATGTTGCCGTTTTAATTCAACAATTCAACAGTTCATCGCCTTCGCTTACCTGCATGATCAAATTCTGATATATACATACATACAGTCGTTATTTTATGCCTACTTCTTCCAGCTATGCCACACTTCCCGTCATGTAACTAAAGAGGTTTAACCCTCGCCTGTGTGCGGCGTTTTACAGCGTCTAATGCGTATGGGGAGGGGGGGGGGTCGGTTAGACTGCCGCTTGGCCCCTGATCAAGCTATAGAGCTTCGCGAAGAAAAAATGAGTTTGTTGCCCGTGACGAGAGGAAGCCGATTATACCAATTTTGGAGTCCTAAGTCATTGGTTGACATTTAATGTCAGGTCAATGACCTGAAAGTCGGGAACATCGGGACCTGCTAGAACTTCGTACACTGAAGCTGTTGTAGGTTTCTTTTAGGGGTTCTGGTCATGAATTTCATGTTAGTTTTGATCACAGATGGTGTAAGTACCGATTCATGCATTTAGGCCAGGTCAGGTCAGGTGAATTAGTAGGCGCCCCGCCGGTTACCATAGTAGGTGTCAACCACCACAAACGGCGTTGTAATATGTTACGAAGGCACTAAAACTACTTCGTAAATGTTCGAAGGATGCTAAATTCGAAATCAGCTCCAAAAACTACCCTAGAAACATGTAAAACTCGAAAAGTGAGCCAAAGTCATCGAAGGTTGACACCCACCATAATGCATGGGACCAACACCATATCACATCTTTGAACGTTTAAAAACACAAAAAGACTGCACGCGCGGAAAATGTGAGCTGACATACACATGCCGAATCGCGATTCCGGCCAAACATGGTCTCGAAAAATAGGTCACAGGTCAAAGGTTATCTGGATCAGGGTCATAAAATGTAAAGGGTATATTTAAAATTGAATAACTCGAGGGTACTGGAAGTTTCGTCGTGATCGGCCGTTTTTTTTTTGCGCGAGTTATTCGCGAAAAACCTAATGGGGGATGTACGTTTGACGATAAGTGCGAGGAGTTCAGTTCCAAGTAACTGTCTCGACACGAGTTACAACCAAGCCTTTAGTCGCCTCCTCACCATGTCCCCACAGAGGTCCAGCCGCGCCTCCAGCACCGCCGCCATCATGGGCACGCTGATGGGCCACGTCGTGCCGGGCTCCATCTTCCTCATCGGCGGACTCTGGTGGACGTTCAACATCTGGAGCCGCTACTTCGCGGCGCTGAAGAGCCGCGGACGCTTCCGCTCCACCATGTCCTTCCCACTGCGGCGCGGCTCGCGGGTCCCCTGGGAGAGCATTGTCGTCATCATGTGCGCCATCGCCGCCATCGCAGGTCAGAAGGGCGGCATCGACAATCGCTGTCGCCCTGTCGCTCATCGACAGTCGCTGCTTCTTCACCGCTCTAACTAGTCGCTGCCACTTTCTCCTTGTTTTGCTTAGACTGCAGCCCTATGTCATAATGTAGCAATTTGGATAGCAATGCGGGTGACAGGACAGGATGGATGCGGAAGGAAACATCTAAAGGGATACACATTCAAAATTTGACCATAGTTTTTATGCAACAAAATACCTAACTTTGATCGAGATTTTGCATTTATGGCGTTTTGTATAAAGAATAAAATGCGATAGCAATGCATCTGTTCAGTCTGTGGTGCTTCGAGGATTTCTCCTCACGTTTAATCACTGAAAAGGCTCAGCCTCCGCTGCCTATAACAGCACCCCTTCCCTCCCCCAGGCGAGATCGTGACGGGCTGGCGCGGGGACCGTCTGGTGGAGATGGGTAACGGCCAGCACGCCGTCATGTACTTCATGTTCGCCATCAGCAGCGCCGCAGAGGCAGCGCGCGTCACCGGCTACGAGCTGCTCCCCGGCCTGGAGTACGTCCTGGCGGTGATGGCACTGGCCGCCGAGGCGCTGCTCTTCGCGTTCCACGGACACGGCTCCTCCGAGCTGGAGATGCTGGTAGGTGGCTGGGAGGAGCTGGAATGGAGATGCTGGTAGGTGGCTGGGGATAGATGGAGATGCTGGTAGGTGTCTGGGAGGAGCTGGAGATGCTGGTAGGTGGCTGGGAGGAGCTGGAGATGCTGGTAGGTGGCTGGGAGGAGCTGGAGTGGAGATGCTGGAAGGTGGTTCCTCAGAGCTGAAACTGCTGCTAGGTGGCCCTCAGTTCCGCCACCTATTGCTTAACGCCATTGTCAGGTCCTCCAGCTAGCACAATTCGTCGTTTTCAGGTTTCCCATCTAACACTATCGTTTTCAGATACACGATTTGAATCTGTGCGTCATTTTCCAACTCACCCTCTGATGCTCTGCTTCGTTGTCAGGTCCACCATCTAATGCTGTACGTCGTCCTGGCCACGGGGGCGGCAGCTGCGGCGGAGGGGATCTGGAGGCACCGCGTGCTGCCCGCCTTGGGCAGGTGCTTCTTTTTCCTGCTGCAGGGAACCTGGTTCCTACAGGTTGGCGTCATGCTGTACCCGCCCAGTGGGTGGCCGGGACATTACTACGACCCCAACAGCTACAGACAGGTGGGTACGGGAGGAGCTCAAACCTCATGAGCTAATAAAAGTAGAACCCCGGGAAACTCGCGAGAAAAACTCAATAGCTCCGGTAACTGGTACCTAATAATTTTTCGCTAGCCTGTTCTCAGAAGCAGTTGTGACGTAGGGTGCACGGTGTGGCTTCAGCTAAGGAAAAAATCGTTAAGATCACGATTTGCTGTGGATTTTGTTCTGCAGTGGCTTTTGAGTTCAAGCTCATCGCAACAGTGAGATTACCAGCATCGTACGTCTTTCATGGAGACGCGTAAAATAAAAAAACATACGCTTTCCCTGTAAAATTTTGACCGAGGATTAGCGTCATAACCTGATCGGAAAACGTTTGCTGCTTTTAAGTCGGTCGTGTTGTTTAGCTTGATGCAATTGCATTCGATAGGGCATAGGATAGGGTCTTGTTTTTGCTCTAACATGGTTTTACCGATCTTACATAAAATGACCTCAGAGGTAAAGGATGGAGTCTATTTGCGTAATGAAACTCGCATAGAGGGGCCTGAAAACGACACCTTCCCACACGTTCATGATAAGCCACGTAAATGATAAGCTGCGGTACGGATCTATCATCTCTGGACACTAATCAGAAAATGTCATCGAAATCAGTAATCACGAAGCGCCTCAGCAACACACCCTCGTTCTCCGCAGCGGAAACTGGCGACGGTGGTGTTCGTGCTGCACTGGGTCGGAGTGCTGACGACTATCGCCGCCATCGGCGTGTTCCTGCGCTGGAAACACGGCCTCGGCCTGCGCTCGCGAGCTCCGCGACCGAAGCACGGCGACCGGCCCCGGAACGGCACCGATACCACCCAGCTGCTGCACTCTTCGGATGACGAGCTATGAACGCCGCCGGATCCGGAGCGGCGCTAGCAGGGACATACTCTCCAAAAAGTTCACTTATTTCCAAACACTCATCGGAGGCTATGTGTTACTGAGCAATTTTAATCCAACCTTCCCCACTAACAAGCTTTTTGTGCGATAAGAATTTGATTTTTTTTTTCTCAAATATGGGACGGTATAGGAGGGGCAAATGTCACAAATGTCCCTTTGAATTCACCAGTGCCTGTGAAAGAGCTTTTTGCTGAGCTTCGGTGGTTTTCAACCATGCCACTGGTGTAAACTCTTCTCCGTGGTCTGTGTTACTTAATGTGCCTTAAGGTGTTTTATTGTGGACTGTAGACGGTGATGAGAGAGAGGGAGAGAGAGAGAGAGAGAGAGAGAGAGAGAGAGAGAGAGAGAGAGAGGAGAGAGAGAGAGAGAGAGAGAGAGAGAGAGAGAGAGAGAGAGAGAGAGAAAGAAAGAGAGAGAGAGAGAGAGAGAGAGAGAGAGAGAGAGGGAGGGAGGGAGGGAGAGAGAGAGAGAGGGGGGAGTGCATCGTACTCACCTGCAGTGTTCAATGTTCATGCTTTTGCACGTTGACCATAGGCAAGAGAACAATGGCAGGCACAGCACTTCACTCATATTTGTCGATTGTTAGTCATTGGGTAATAGCATTGATTATCGGTGTATTCTCTGGACAGCACTTGATACGTGTGCCTTTGGTTAGAACTGCATGTTCACAATTCGTATGCACTTCAGAGTCGTTTCTTTCCGAGACTCGTCGCAGCAAACCAGCATGGAGTCTTGTTAACGTGCATTCATTTGTAATTCTGTTGTAGGACAGAGTTCATTGAAAAAAGTTACGATGAATGTTGGTGCAGCTAGTTACTGTGCACAAATAATGAACTCGACACTCGTGAGGTCTGCTGAATGATGGACATCTAGTGCGCTACGACGCTGTTTACCTACCTAATTATTGTATGTACGTACAATGCACATTATCCGTCATATGAGATCTCACGTGATCATCCCTTGTGCGTTTAACTTCGCGTTTTATGCTTAACCGAAGGCGATTAAAGGTAGTGTGCCAGCTTTCTTGGACCGTATGGAGTTAATGGCCCAGATAAGGAGAACCGGATTTTTAGAACTTATCCATACCCTCAAAACTCATGGAAACGTCTTAAATTCTTCAAATTTTGAGTACCTCAGTGCGAAATTCGCCCCGACGGGTTGTCGGTCGTACCCCAACCACATTTCACACCACTATGAACAATAAATGCACACACTGAAATCGCTATTACCGATATGCTAATCCAATCAAGTTTCGATAAACCCGTTCATCATCATCTCCTGCGGTTTCGAACACGCCTGTTAGGTGGCTTCTGATGCTCGTTGAGGTCGGAATTTCCAAATACGCGTGGTGCGTCGGGCCGCGCGCTCTGACTTCGGCCAAGAAAAATGCGTCAGCTGATCATTGTCATTTCTGCCACTTGCGTGTGGTGAAATGGGGTCATAACTTATAAGACGGCTTTTTCATATCAATTATTTTACATAAAATCATATTTCAAACCATAAATAATGTTCGACAGCCAAAGAAAAGAAACAATACCAATACGGGCTTACAGTTTAAGGCTCGACATTGTGTTGTCTACGATTAGACAGCTGATAACTCATTCCCGTACGTCGTATGGTCGTAACACTATAATGACCACAGGGGAGCAATGCCGCTTCAACCCTATTGGCCGTAGTGTCTAACGGTGGCGGCCATATTGCGCAGACCAGGAACCGGCTGCCGCCTGTGTTGAGGAATAGGGAATTCGGGACCTCGATTTACGTTTGCGGCCGCCGTATCCGTTACGTTCAAGTTACGTAGATACGGAACCCGGCGTCTTACGCAGAATTGAGTGGGGAACACGATCGTATCTTCAGAATTCCTCAAATTCACTCGCCTGACCTACATTTGCCCCGGCCGAGGGGGTTGATTGAACCCACCTCGCTAATGCACCGCTAATTAAACTAGAATTAAGCGGTAAAGTGGTCGTATGCGGCAAAGTATAATGCAGAGTGACTGGTAGGAACCCGCTGTAAGGGTCTCAGGTCAACCGGTGACCTCTGAGGTCAGGTCAAGTGATCTAAGGCACGGGTTCGGTTTTTGGTAAATAACTTCGCCAAAAATGGCCGTAGAGCCGCGATTTTGGCATCATCGTGTTCAGCTAGCTCAGGCGCATCGAGTGATATACTTTTTGTTCGGGTCAGGTCAACTTAGGGTGTTGACCTCAGGTCAAGGTCAGGTCAGCACCCCCAGGTCACGAAGTTGGTCGAAAGAGGTCATGTCGCATATCATTCGATTCGGCAGGTCTTCCTGAGTCCATTGGTGGCTTTCCCGACTCGCTAGCTCAATTTGATCGGGAGTTATTGAAGAAAAATGGTGACCCTTGTGACGTCACAAATGACGTCACGCAAGGGCAACAATGCAAATATGAAGCATAGAACCTTGCAAAGAGTGCATGAAATCATGATTTTATATGCTTGAGATAGTTTCAGATCATTCTCGGCGCCAAAATAACAATTTTCATATTTCCCCATTGACTTATAAGGGTTTAACGTATTAGTTCCTTATAGCTGATGATTTTTTAGGATTTCATCTTGTTCTCCACTCAATTCTGCGTAAGATGCCGGGTTCCGTGTCCACATAGCTTGAGCGTAACGGATGCAGCGACCGCAAACGTAAATCGAGGTCCCGAATTCCCTATTCCCCAGCACAGGCGGCGGCCGCTTTCTGGTCTGCGCAACATGGCGGCACCGTTGGACACCATTTGGCGGCCGATGCGCATTCCACATTATAGAGTTCAGTGATAATGACCTTTGCTTATTGTCACAAGTGCGCCGCATTCGCGATTGTTGCCCGACGCCTGTTTGCAGGTGAGCCCACTACAGTTGTTATACATATCTAAAAACCGAATTTTTTTAGGCAAAAAAGGCACTATTCCAGGCCCATTTTTGATTTTTTTTTGCGATATTATGTAAAAACAGAAGCTTCTTATCCTAGGAAAAATAAAATGGGAAATCTTTCAAAGGTGGCACACTACCTTTAAGTTAGGATTTTCGATTCGAACAATAACGAGCAAAAATCGTCATTTTCAGTTTTAATTTTCAACTTGTTCAAGGCGACAATTCACGAGCATTTCAATACACAGCTTATCAGGGAGTCAAAGAATATGATCACAAAAATGCTGGAAAGATTGAGCACATAAAAAGCGTGGACATAGCTAAATTGCAGCACCTAGCACTCACGTGATTTTTAAGAGACATCCCTGTTGCCTCAGGAAAGAGCATGCAACTCTAAACGCGAATCCAAGCCAAGAATGAATCGAGCTTATTCATGCTAATCTATGCACCGCCTATCACATAGCGACAGGTTTCAATAGTGTTATTCTTCTTGATGTTTGTGCATACCCAGTACCCACCCTGCGTGACTGACTTTGTAATTGTATACTTGGCTTTGTAATATATGTTCTTCTGCCATTACTCATTTCGTTTTCTTGTTAGGTGAAAACAAAGATAAATCTGGCCATCATATACGCGTACCTATATGCTTGCCAAAAAAGAGTGACTTGCAGCTCTGGGAACATTACATTATAATATACATTGTAGGTACAGCGTAACAGCCAGGCTAACAAACTGGTGGATCTATAAAAATGGGTTAGAAAACTCTTGGATTGGGGACCCCTGATTTCCGACGATACTTCTCTCAAACTCCTCCTGTTTTCCTTTGTCATGCGCTGTAAGCAATTTTTAATCTGACAGAAGTTGCGAAACCTGATTTCATGAATGGAAAATGACAAAATGTTGGCAGTTTCAGACGCTGTGTTAGGGACGAATGCCTCAAATGTCCCCCCTAAATTTCATGAGCTAAACCAGTTAAACTTAGCTCGCTGTTTCTTTCGATTGGGTGCCGAAGTGTGTGTGTTTTTTTAGCACACGAATGCCCAGAAACCGGTTTCGATAAAACGAATGTGATATACCGTATGCACGTAGTTATATGTATAATAAACGAATGATATGGGTATGTTTCTATTGCCCCTAGAGGCGCTGAGGCGCTGCTCCTGCTGGGTCATGTGACCCTGATCAGACGCACCAAATACAGCGCTATCAATGGTATGTACATACCTTTGAACGGTGTGCCGACTGTGTGTACAAAGTCCACCCCTGAGTCATGCAGCAAGCGACCCCTCCCCCCTCGCGTTTGGCCCCTGATGGAGCTAGAGCTTCGCGGAAAAAAACAAGCGTGCTGCCCGTCACGAGAGGAAGCCAATGATACCCAATTTTAAGGTCCTAGGTCATCGAGTGACCTTCCAGGTCAGGTCAATGACCCGAAAACCGGGAAAGTCGGGACCTGTTAGAAAGTCGTAAAGTGTGGCTGCTATGTGGTTTTCCGGGGTGCTGATCACGAATATCGTGTTAGTTTTGATCAGAGATGATGTCGTTAAGCGTTTAGACCAGGTCGGGTCAGGTCAGGTCAGGTCAGCCGGTAGGGGTCGTGACGGGTATTCGTAGTACCTGTCATCCGCCTCTGATAGCTTCGTAACATGTTACGAAGGCACCAAAACTACCTCGTAAATGTTCAAATGGTTGCTAAATTCGACTTCAGCTCCAAAAACTAGCCTAGAAACATGTCAAACTCGAAAAAGTGAACCGAGGTCACCAAAGGTCAATGACCTGAGCTGACCTTCAAGTGACCTTGACACCCACCCTAATACATGGGAGCAACATCAAATCAAATGTTTGAACGTTTGAAACCACGAAAAGCTTGCAAACGCGCGGCTAATGCGAGCCGACATACGCCGAATCGCGATTCCGGCCAAACATGGTCTCCGAAAGGAGGTCACACGTCAAAGGTCATTTAGGTCAGGGTCATGAAATTTTCAGGGTAGGTGTAAAATTGATCATTGCGAGGGTACTGAAAGTGTTGTCGCGATCGGCCGTTTTTTACGTGAGTTGTTTGCGAAAAACCTTAAAGGGGGTTGCATCAACCCCCCTCCCGCTGTGCCGGCGAGGGCTAGAATTCTGCTGCTCATGCGTGCAAACCCATACGAGCGTATCTTTTGAGTAACACACTAACTTTCGATTTGGTGTGGGGTTTTCACACCAATTTTCGTAGCGGCCTTTTTACATCTTTACTCTTCCAATGCAAATGACTTCAATACATTTTTCAAAATTCAAAATTGAAAACAGTGTTTAACGCATCCAAAGCAGGAAGACGGTGTGGATTGGTTGCAATGATAAGTGATACGGTTAATCCGCGCCCCGTTGGGGTCTGCCGAGCAACGCGCCCTGCTGGGGGGCGCGTTGCTTGACCTAGGCCCCCCTAGGTCGCTATACCTAACTTGGAAAAAAGGAGGTACCTATCGATCTAAAATTTGGTATGTGTATAGAAGAGGGCAGGGACTAACACATGTATTCCGTTTTTTTCGAAATTCGGAAAAAAGGGATTTTTTTTTGCGTTTTCTAAAAAAAATTGTTTTGATTTTTGGGGGTTAACCCGCGCCCTGGTGGGGTCTGTTTATAACGCGACCTGGTGGGGGGGGGCTATTTTTTACCCCCCCTCGTATCTCCGAAACTACTGGACGGATCCGCAAAATTCAAATGGCGTTCGAAAGGCCTGTCAAATTTGTCGAAGGAAACCAAATTTCATTGACCTCGGGGTCACCGATGACGTCACAGGTCAGGTCAAAGATGAAATGTTTCACCGTTCACGGGTCTTCTAGGGAATGCGCTATAACACCGAGGAAAACGCATTTTGTCGAGAATCAGCGATAGGGCGTCAGTTGCCTAGTAGATATGTTGCTATTAGAGGTCACTGACAATACCAGGTCAGGTCACAGGTCAGGTCACCAAGGGTCACAGGTCAGGTCACATGAGCCCAACTTTACTAAGTTGTGTGATGCATGTTTTATGGCCAATTTTTCATTTCCAACTCAATGGTGTTGGTTATAAGACTATCCGGTACGGCTTAGGTTACTTTCTGGTGAAGTTCAGGTCAAGTTCAGGTCAAGGTCAGGCCAAAAAAGGTCAAATTTTAAAGTTGATAGTTTTGCATAAAATGGGTTGGGTATTGATTCGATGCAGCT